CCACTTAAATCGTTGTTCCATTTGTTCTTTTTCTTCTTCTAACTCTTTCACTCTCGCCTTCACCTCCGCAAGTTCCCGTTTATATTCTTTTTTACGTTCCTTCTGTGCTTCACAATTCCATTCTGCTCTCCATTTTTCATCTCCTACCTGCTTTAGTTTCTCCCTCATTTCTGTAATAATTCTATCGCTTTCTCTTTGTACTCCCAGTTGGCATAACCACTTATTATGAAGAGATTGCAGTTGTTCTCTGTAGCATTCCTGATAACATGGTTCATCAACCCATTCATCAAACTCACACATAGGTTCGCCGGGAACCTTGTACAACTGCTTCATACAGTGCCAGTAGCGGCGTCCAACATCACAACCTTCCCAGCAACTGTTCATCAAGCATGCTTTTTCACAGTAGCACATTGGTGGACGAAGAGGTTGAGCCATTTGTGAAATATTTCCTTTTAGTAAAAAAAATCTTTCTTTTAATGAAATATTTGCGTTTAGTAAATTTTGAGCACACAAATGACTACAATGAGCCCGTTATTTATAGGCGAGAGAACACACACATAACGCCAGGTATAATGGCGCTATATTTAGCGTGTTACATATCATGATGTTGACAAGACTACTTTATGTTAGCTGGTCAGCTTTTTCAGTTCGACAAGACAACACACGCATAACGCCAGGTATAATGGCGCAATATTTAGCGTGTTAAATATCATGATGTTGACAAGACTACTTTATGTCAGCTGGTCAGCTTTTTCAGTTCGACAAGACAACACACACATAACGCCAGGTATAATGGCGCTATATTTAGCGTGTTATATATCATGATGTTGACAAGACTACTTTATGTCAGCTGGTCAGCTTTTTCAGTTCGACAAGACAACACACACATAACGCCAGGTATAATGGCGCTATATTTAGCGTGTTATATATCATGATGTTGACAAGATTACTTTATGTCAGCTGGTCAGCTTTTTCAGTTCGACAAGACAACACACACATAACGCCATGGAAATTCGTGTTACATTTAAATATTCCTAGAGGAAAAATAACGAAAAAGAAAAAAAGGTGAAATAAGTGGACCGACGGCTACAATTATCTAGAATCAAACCAAATATTGTGAAAGTTGAATTATGTTAATGTCAAAGTATCTTTATTTTTCTTTTATATAGAAGAGTGGTAATGTGCTGGACTTGGAAAAAAATTATTTTATTACAAGCATAATTTTATTTCATAAATCAGGCAACATACACATATTAACTAATTATTACAACATCAACTCATGGGTAGTTAGGTACACTAGAAGAACACCCACCCCGAGCTTGATTACTGTTGCCACCCAAAGGACATTTTCTACGGTCGTGTCCTGTTTGCGAGCATATACCACATTTTCGCGCATAAACTGTATCACTAAAATCCATTTGGTTCCGTATACGCGTTCTCTTCTGCACCTGTATTTTACGCAAATAGGACTTGTTACACACCATTTTAAATGGTTCAGGAGGCCAATAATGCTCAGCACCCAGTGGCTGCAACTGACCACTATATGTGTTTAGGTACTTCGAAACACTATATTGTCGATCAACATAGTTGGTTGCACCTAAACCAACTTGTTGAAAGCACTTGATGGCATGTGAGCAAGGCATGTGGTAGATGGACCATTTTCCACAAGAGCATAACCTTGCAGATTCATTTACAGTATGCACATTATTACCCCGATTTTGATGGATAGCGGTGCGAACTTCAAAAACATTTCTTTCATTATCATACTGCAAAAATGAATGCCAATGTGCTCGTCGTCTGTATTTCTCGAATCTCGTCATCGGCACTGGCATAAATTCAACACCCCTTTCCATCAATGACGTTGCAGCCGCAGACATTTCAACGAACCTCTCCGCCATTTGCTTGAACGACATCCGCACCATGGCTGTGACAGGCAATCCTCTTGCCGACTTCAATAACCCGTTGAAAGACTCTGACACATTTGTAGTCAGAGTTCCCCATCGTCTGCCACCATCCGCATGCAAAGTCCACTTTTCAGGGTCATGTCGCATTAACCAACGATAGGCTGCCTCGTCTTCTTGCCTGATATATTCTATGTGCCTCCGTAATTTATGTTGTTGGTGGTCTGTTGCTGCCATCCACATCAAATCATGCAGATCCTTATTGGGATATGCCTTCTGGAAATTGGCTTTCAAATGCCTAACACAGTAACGATGGTAGGCATAAGGTTCTTGCCATGCAGGCAAGTTCTCCACAGAACTTAAGATACCACCGAGCCGATCAGATATTAGACAGATACCGAAACGCTGTTTCATAACGTGCTCTTTCATATGGTTCAAAAACAACGTCCATGTCTCTTGGCTTTCATTGGCACAAATAGCAAAAGCTAGAGGAAATATCTGTCCATTAGCATCTACTGCCACGGCTATTAACAGCTTGATATCGTACTTTCCATAGACATGAGTGCCGTCTATGGATATTACGGGGCGGCAATGCGAAAAACCATCAATTGCTGGTTTAAACGCCCATAACACGTAATTGAATATATATTCCGGTTTACCTGCACTTCGCTCAAGCTTCCACTCAACAACCGTTCCGGGGTTAAAATGCTGTAGTGCAGCCATGTACCTAGGCAGATCTGCAAATGACTTATCCCAGTTACCATACACTATTTCAAACGCTCGTTTGCGCCCGAGAAATGCCTTTCTTTTAGTAATGGTATGGCCATGTTCCTGCTGGACTGATGTAATGCACTCTTTGATTTTATACCTTATGGACTGTTCGATGTGTGGAATAAGAACAAGAGAAATCAAGTCAATATCCAAGTTGAAGTGATTCCCGTTGAATGTGTCCATTTCGCATGTGTGGGTGGGAATGTATTTACCCACTTTCCACATACCTGTCTTCTTCTTGGTCGCACGCAACATCCAATTACATGGCCAAAACCACCTGCGGCAAACAACCTTGTATACCGTCGGACTTGACTCCCATACCTGCATCTCATGACACTCTTTTACGTTGTGCATTTTACAAGCCCTGCTTAGGCGCGCTTTATCAGGAAAAAGCATCCCCTTTGCAAGCACCGTTGGTCTAGACTCATCCCACATTACTGTCCGGATTTCATCAAAATCCCTTGTGAGAGCTTCCACATCCGGCACGGTTGGCAAGTTATCAATGTAAGGAATCTCTCTTGAATGAAACGGCACTTCGGACTCATACACTCTTCGTCTAGGGGGGTCTCTCTTCAAATCAGGTCCTTCCTCCTCATCCTCTGCATCACCATCCTCACGAGCAAAGAGTGTCTCATCCCCGGATTCATCCGCATTGTTATCGTAATCACTGTTCTGTTCCTCACTCTGTGCATCTGCCAGGTCCCGATGTAATACATCATTTTCGGGCAATTGAGTGAGTTCAACTTGCTCGTTTTCACTGCACAACCAACAAAAATATAAGCTACTAAATTAATAAATGATTTCCATATTTTGCGTAAATCACTTCACTTACAAGTCGTAATGTGATGAAATTCCATGATGGACGTTATCAATTAGGTGATGACTACCGGATGTGCCACTTGTAAAATTCATATCCGGCCGGTACCCCCTATTAAATATGTGAGCGTTAATACAAATTCAATACAACAAAAATATACATAATTAACACAAATAAAAATTGAAATTTACCACTCGTCTTGTGAATTATGGAAAGCAGGGTATAAATTATTTTCTCGCTGCTCATTCACCGGCGGTGATAAGTTTAAATCAAAGATAACTCTTTCATCCGGAACTTGTCCGGCAAAAACTGTTCCAGAATAACCACCCGATGACTGGGGGTTATCTCTACTACGCACAACCTCATTTTTTGGAACGTCTTCGACCTTCACGTACATCTCCAACATTGTGATTACAAGAAAATCCCGACATTCGTCCGGAGTCCTCAAAAAATCACTCAAAGTTTCATCATCGTCGATGTTAAACTCCGAGTAAAAAGCAACCCCTTGCGGAGTGACGGAATAAGGATATCTTCCGGTTACTTTAAGTATCACCGAACGTTTCCTCACACTCATTTTTTTGCATAACAACGATATCAATGTATCGTACTCCATTGTCAGTGGCAATTTAACATGACACTTAGCAGGTAAACTGTAGCCCACGGAGTTATTCTCCATCACAACCTCACCACCCCAATATAATGAAACTCTTATCCTACGCTCTTCAGACATAATAAAAAAATGCTGGAGAATTTAACAACAACAGACGTTTCAACAAGAGTTAAAAAAAATTTTGAATGCATTTCTATGCGATTCTAACCTCTTTATATAGAAAATGGAGAGCCGGGAAGATTTTTTTTTTTACATATATAGCGCCAAATAAGTTGGCACTATACGCTTTTGAATTATTGTACTCTGCTATTATTGCTGGGGTCAGGAAAAAAAGGGTATAACGCCAGGTTTTCTGGCGCTATATCACTGTGCCAGTATAACGCCAGAAAATCTGGCGCTATATATATTATGGTCACTTTTTTTTTCTACACTTATTTGTGTCTTTTGAGTCCAAAATAACAACATTTTGGTTCCGGACTCCTCGGAACCAGGCTTGCCATCGTCTTCAATTTCAGTACTAAATCTCATTTTTAATCTTATTTTTTAATTATTTTTTGGATTGAATCAGTTTGCTTGTTTATAAATCACGTAGCAAATTTAACTGTACCGTTTTACGGGAAAACAATTCTAGCGTTCTCTAATAAAAGAGCTTTATTATCCGAGTTTGAAAAAACTTTGGTATCAAATGATAAAATAAAATAATAATAAATCTATCATTCCACGGCACAATTGGTTGGTGTGCAAAAAATGTACGGAGGAAGTTTGACAGCAACACTTTGGAATTTTTACTGTTTCAGGATACTATCTTGGTCCAATAAAATTAATAGGGCGATGATAAGGTTGAAAAAAAAAAGGTTCAAAGTCCAAAGCAGGTAAAATCCTATACATCCCCAAGGGCATATAATGGTTACTTGCCCAGAATTTAGATTCTCTCTCTCTCTTGTCAATAAGGAGACACAAACATCACAATAGCTGTAAATTACAGCCTGCTGCTTTTTCTCCTACACTGTCTATTGTCCCCATCAATTTTCCAGTACTACTATTCAAACTCAAGTTGATGAAGTTGTGAAACAGAAAATTAAAAAGGGGGTCCATTTTTCCTTTTTCTTTTCACTTTCTACATGATTTACAAGAACTCTCTGAAGTATTAAAAAGTGTGTGTGTTTTTTGTGCTGGTATAAAAAGAGGGAGCAACAAATAATAGTAATATGCAGCAGCACCTGATGCAGATGCAGCCAATGATGGCAGCTTATTATCCAAATAACGTCACTACTGATCATATCCAACAGGTCTTCTTCTTTTCTTTACCCCCTTTAATTAATTTCTTCTTAGCTACTGCTATCTGTTCTTGATCTTCTTCTGCTTCTTTCTGAACCTGAAATCTGCTATTTTATCTGCTGCTATGTATATACGGTTGTACTACTACTACTACTACTAGTTTTCATAAGTTGGCTGCTAGTTATAAAAAGTTGCTTTCTTGGTTGGTAAGTTCTGCTAAAAGGGTAGGCTATGCTTTTGGAAGTTGGACCTTTTCTGCTCAAGGCTTATTGTGGTCATAAACAGGGAAAAAATAAAAAAGAAAGGTCTTGCTTTTAGGTTCTTGACTCTGTTTGTTAGATTTTTGCCTTTTCTTCTTGAAACTTATGCTGTTTCTAGCTTTTCTTGTGTAAGCTTTCTTTCTCCACCTTTACATATGGTTTTGTTCTTTAAATAGTTACCCTTTACTATGCAGTAACGTGGGAGAATCTTGTTGTTGTTACTGTTACTTTCTTTTCATTTTTAATTGGGCCGAGGGTCGCCTCTTCAAGGTAGTTAGGGTAATGTCTGCGTACACACTATTCTTCCCATTTTGTGGGATTATACTGGACTTGTTGTTGTTGTTGTGCCGGAGAAAAAAGAAAAGGCATGGTTAATGTACTTCTAGTAATCTCATTTCTTCCCAATGGCTGCCAGTTGAGTTGGTTGCTTTCTGCACAATGAGTAGCAAGTAGCAAACTATATATTGAAAGCTAATTCTGTTTCTTATACTACTTTTAAAGTCTTCAGAAATACTAATTATATATCTCCTATCTTCTCTCTTTTTTGTTTTTATTATATTTATATATACCACTGGTTGACAAAAGAAGTCGATGAAAACTTAACTACTTATTTTGCATGAGTGCTGCAAACAAGTGAAATCTTTTTATGTCAAGTTTAAAAGTCAGTTTTTCTAAGTTGCTTTTTACTATAGCTTTTTCAGTTGGTGACTTTTTAAAATTTCAGTATCTGCAATTGGTGACTGCATTATACTTTTTAACAAACACAATTACTTGCCTAACGTTGCATAACATCATTATATGCATATAATATGGGTATCAGACTATCAGTATATACGCTGAAGGGTTTGTTGAGTAAATATTTTTCTGTCAACAAATCACTCCTTTGTCTATTTCACTGTTCTCAGAGTTGTTCATTAAAGATTGAATTTTTAAATATGTGAAAACTGTAAGTTTTTAGTCTACAAAGTTCCTTTTTTTTCGTACTTGAAAAGTATTTTACATATCAACAGGAAAAAGTTGTCAAAAAACCTGCCTCTATTAATTTGTTGTAAGTACCCCCTCCGTTCATTTTAGTTGTCCACTTTTTACTTTTGCACTCCCTTTACAATCTTGCAGAAATGTAGGGTAAGGCTGTGTACAATAGATCCTTATAGAAATGCAGGATAAGGCTGTGGACAATAGATCCTTAAGTTCCGGCCTTTCCCTGGACCCCGCGCATAATGTGAGCGTAGTGCACCGGGCTGCCCTTGTTTTTACCCATAATAATAATAGCATTTCTGAAAGTCTTAGCAAATACGTTGAGGAATGACTAGTTAATGATAAAGGCAAAACAAGTAAAAAAAAGATTGTCTTTTTCTTGATTTAGTATAGTGGACAAGTGAAAGTGAAAATGTATTTTTAATATAGCGGACAAGTAAAAATGAACGCAGGGATTGTATGTGTACCGACCCTAGTTTTCAGTTGCTAAAAATACAAATTTATAGAGATTCCCCATTGAAATTTGAAAAGTATGTTCCTTACGGAGGTGGACCTATGTTATGAAGTGAGGGGGTCACCCACACTTGGAAAGTTCAGCAAAATCTTCATGAATACATGTATATATTTTTAGGAAATACTAATATATTAGTAGTGACACCCCGTATACAAAGTAGATTTTGGTTGAAAGCAAAAGTGCACCCCCGACCTTCAAATCCTGGATCCGGCTCTGATTCCTTATAATACGGGCAGATCTCATATTTTTTACTTGGGGTTAGACAGTGTTTATTAGTAGTAATTTAGTATTGTACTTCTGAATTTTTACATTATTTGATGTTCACGTAGTAGTTGGCCTTATTCTTTTCCAATGTCAGTTCTTGGATGAGAACAAATCACTGATTCTGAAGATTGTTGAGAGCCAGAACTCTGGGAAACTAAGTGAATGTGCAGAGTAAGTTCAGTATATAATAAGTTTAAAAGTATGGTAACATTCTTGAAACTTGATCATAGAATATAAATTGGTGACAATTTGTGCTAACTCTTTTGGTATGGCAGGTCTCAAGCCAAACTTCAGAGAAATCTTATGTACCTAGCAGCTATTGCTGATTCACAGCCCCAGCCTCCTAACATGCATTCTCAGGTAAGTTTACGTATCTTTTCATTTCCATTATCTGCACTTTTTCACCAGCTAAAGGTGGCAAATGGACAAGTTAGTTCAAATTTCCATGAGTTAAAATTAGACAAATCAATAAAAGTGTCACACCTTGGATTTGAACTTGTGACTTGAGAAATTTTTTGAATCCCCTGATAAGAATGTTTTCTGACGTCAAGGGAATTCAACGTTTCATATATAACTAGAAAAGTTTGTTCTTATCCTATTTGAACAGGATAGTTTCCCATTTTTAAGTTTTATTTTGCATGTTTGGTTTTGGGTTGCATTTTCGACTCAATTGTTTGATGGTTTATGGTCAAGTCAATAAACGGATCATAACTCAATCTGTTTAAACTTGGGCGGGTTTGACATGTTACTAAAAATGTGTTGGTTTTGTCACATCTAGTACCAGCTGAATCTTGTTATTATTCTTGAATAATCTTAACACGTTTGAAAATCCATTATATTAATCTCAGTTCTAAATTTGACAAATCAATGTTTGATGCCCTGCAGTTAGCTTCTGGTGGGATGATGCAGGCGGGGCAACATTACCTGCAACAACAACAAGCCCAGCAACTAACAACACAATCGTTTATGGCTGCAGCAAGATCCTCCTCCTCCTCAATGCTCTACGGACAACAACAACAACAGTCATTATCAGCATTGCAACAACAACAAGCCTATCATAACCAACTCGGAAGTAGTAGCGGATTTCACATGCTGCAAAATGATCATACTCATAATTCCAGTACTTCACTTGGTTTCCCCGACTTTGGCAGAGGTGGAAATAAGCAAGACATTGGAACTTCTCTGTCTGATCAAGGACGAGGCGGGAGCTCAAGTAGCCGTGGTGGCGAAAATCTTTATTTGAAAGCTGCTGATGATGGAAATTAAGTCTAAGGTAAGTTAAGAATATAAGGTTTTGTTATCAGTGAACTTTAGAACCACGTTTAGCTAGGGGAGAAGATAGAAGAGTGCTGAAGAACTTTTGCTAAGTAATTAGTGGGATTTGTAATCTGTTGTGTAACACAATGGCTCTTCTTCTACTTTTGGACTTTTTGGTCAGTTTCTCGAATGTTTGAAACGCTCCACCTTCTGAATATCATGTAAAATTGTTAGGTCGTTTTGGTTTGCATTATTGCTTTCTTGATTTTTCATAGAAATGATTGTTAGATGGCTGCTATTTAAGAATTAGCTAGTGCATCCTGAATTTTAGTTTTTGAGGAGAAAAGTGTCTGAGTTGTCCTAAAGGTAAGACTTTTAATTTAAAATAAGTATTGACTAATCTCTAACATCATTGAGAATGGTTATCTGTGCAAAAGTGTCCTTGATTTTTCCTCTATTGGGCTATTTGCTTGCTTTCTTGATAACTTTGCTTGTATTGAGCTGTTTTCTTGGGGGAATTGAACCAAAATATGGAGGAAAAATTTATATTTTTATTCTCTCTCAAAAATAACAGTAGCCGGCAAAATATAGTTTTTGTATATATATGTAGTATATATAAATAAATATACATATTTTATATACTTTGGCTTGCGAATATAATTCGTTTTGGTCGATTGGCTAATTTTATGTTTTGCCCAATACGGAAGAACCGCACAGGACAAAGTAGAGAAATTATACTTGATCATTTGGTTTTGACGTATTGCTTTTCATTGCAAAGGATATTTGTATTCCTGATCAATACAAATTTTTGAGGATGTGGAATCTACCTAAGACAAGAAGTGAAAATTTTCCACAGCAAGCGTTTACACATTGTCTCCTTTTTAGGCCACTAGTATTAGGCAGACACGAATCATGTCAAATATTTAAGTTATTTGGATTGTATGTAAATCATCTTAAAATTTATACTTTCTCAGTAAATATAGATAATCATTGGATATCAACTACATGAAAAAAGTTAACCATTTCTTCTATTTTTCATATTTGATAACATTTTTGTCGGTGTCATTGGATCCTAAAAATAGTCAGGAAGCAAAATAATAACTCATATTTATGGCAAAACAATCAAATGTTGAGACAATGAATGACTCTTTGGATAAGACTTAACTCTTTTACTACTACTTGAACTCTTATGTGATGTGTTGATATCTCTTAAAAACTATTTCTTTCTTAAAATTTCAGTTTCTAAAACATTATTTTTCAATTATAATTATTTTTATAATAATGTAATTGAAAATATTATTCTTAATTCAAAACTCATTTTAGTTGGATATCTAAAAATATAAAAAATTCTTTAGCTAGTGAATTTTTTTTACTCCATTTTGATATTTGACATTAACCATATTAAATATCTGAGTTATTTGAATTATATGTAAATAACCTTAACATTTAAACCTTCTAAATTATAGATAATCGTCAGATATTAATTAAGAAACACTATGAAAAAAGACTAACATTTTCTCAATTTTCGTAGTGATAATTTTATTTTTGCACTGTTCTCATAGGTGTCATTGGAACCTAAAAATAGCCACAAAGTGAAATAATAAATCATATTTATGGCAAAGCACAAAAGTTGACACGAGATAAATGATTCTTTGATTAGTACGTGACTCTTATACTACGACTTGAACTCTTATTTGGTATGATTTATCTTTCAAAAATATTTCTATTTTAAAATTTTAATTTCTAAAACTTTATATATATTATAATAATGATTATCTTTATAATGATGCAAGTGAAGATATTATCCTTAATTTAAAATTCACTTTAATCGGCTATCTAAAAATTTAAATAATTCTTTGGCCGGATTTATTTCAGTATGACTCCACTTTAAGTTTATCGATATCTCTAGCCCCAGAATTTGAATTTTTAATACCCTATAAATACAAAACAAAAAATTGTTCTTTGAATCATTAAATGTTAAATTAGTTGATTATTATTATAAAATATTACATATATTGTCTTTAAATTGTCAAGTAGTTTATTACGGTACCATACTTGGCTTAACCTCAATCCATAATACTCGAATTGCATTCCAATTCAAATTCGAATATATCATATCAGTTTGTTAGTAATAGTGATTTTTTGACTACAGCTAAATGAAGGGGTTTCAGCTTATACCATTCAATTCCTTGAATGTGCTAAATTGAAATTGAGAATGATAGCAAATTGTATAGCCAAAGTTTTAGTTATTTGTTTGGTATGTCCATTTTGTTGACGACCCAAAGGGTCCGATCACCTATTTCCTCATTCATTCCGTGCTTTCGAGGCCTTAAAATCTCATTTTTTACTTGCCTCGATTTACGTGCGCAGTCAGGGCGCGTAGCCGGAAAGCTTTTATATCGAAATATGTGAATTCCGTGAAAAATTTGAAGAATTTTGATATTAATATGATTATAGTTGACTTTGGTCAACATTTTTGGTAAACGGACCCGGACCCGAGATTGGACGGTCCCGGAAGTTCCGTAGAAAAATATGGGACTCGAGCATGTGCCCGGAATCGAATTCCGAGGTCTAGAGCCCGAGATATGAATTTTTCCGTGAAATTGTTTTTCTAAAATTATTAAGGAAAATGGAAATGAAAATTGATTAAAAGACTATGGTATCGGGCTCGTATTTTGGTTCCGACGCCCGGTACAAGTCTTAGATATGTGTTAAGCGCTTTCTGTAAAGTTTGGTCGAAATCGGACGTCGTTTGACGTGTTTCGGACTATGAGTTCAAACCTTGAAAGGTTATGAAGTTTAGAAGAAGAATCATGTGTTTTGAGGCTTGATTCAATGATTTTGATGTTATTTTGGCGATTTGATCGCACGAGCAAGTCCGTAGGATGTTTTTGAGGTTGTATGCGTGTTTTGTTTGGAGCCCCGAGGGCTCGGGTGAGTTTTGGATAGGCATCGGATTGCATTTCTCATGTTTTAAAAATCTGGTATGCTGGCTTCTGCAATTTTCGCAAATGCGAAGGGAAGACTCGCAATTGCAAGCTTGCAAATGCGGGCACTGCTTCGCAATTGCGAAGTCTGGAGAAAATGGGGCACTGTCGCAAATGCGATGTTAGGCTCGCAAATGCTAGGGGGGGAGGTTCGCAAATGCGAAACCCCGCCTGTAGGCCCAGTGATCGCAAATGCGAACCAAGGATCGCAATTCCCAGCCCTGTCTTGTTCACAAATGCGAACCAAGGCTCGCAATTCCCATATCCCAGGCCCAGCAAATTTTATACTTAGTCGAATTTTCATCACTTTTCACCATTCTTTCAAAACCCAAACACCATAGGCGATTTTTCAAGAGCAAACTTCATCCCAAATCATTTGTAAGTTGATTTTTACTCAATTCTTTCAACTTGTAACATCATTAAACATGTTTTCCACTTGAAATCAAGGATTTTTCATGGGTGAAATTGTGGTTTTTGGGTAGAACCTAGGTTTTCCATAAATTGGGGAGTTGGACCTCGATTTGAGGTCCGATTTCAAAACAAGTTATATATTTGAACTCGTGGGGGAATGGGTAACCGGATTTTGGTTCGAACCTCGAGTTTTGACCACGTGGTCCCGGGGCGA